ATGTTATGTTACTTCGATAGCGATGATACGATAGATTATTAATGTAAATTTACAATCATCAAAAAAAATTTAAAGCAAAAAGTACTAGAATTAAAATATGAATTAAAGTATAATATGTCTACTGACAAACATGAATAAAGTGTACAGCCTCTTAAAGCAGAAGAATCACAAACGTGCGTGATTGCAAAAGGCAGAATTGATTACAAACTTGAATTGATTGCCACATAATTGATTGCAATAAACAAATATTGGGTTATAGCCGTGATTGACGAATTGGATGCGTGGATTGATAAAAAAACAAACATTCACATGTTGGAAAATTAATTTCAGTACAATAATTACGTTTATGAAAATTATTACTTTCTAAATAATTCACTTTGATTTTCTCGTGCCTATATAGTGTTATAAACTAGAAATAAAAAAGAATAAAGTAGAAAAGCCAATAAATTTGTTTATATTATATTGAGAACTAAATCTAGGGATGGTAAAAAAAACTTATTCAACCCAATACCCGTGAATCTCATTCCGAATGTGACAGAAATTACCCGCCTAATCGGGTAAACAGGGCGAGGAGGGCGAGGGCTGGGGGCGGGGCGGGGGCAAGGGTCATTACCCCGAAGCGGGTACGAGAAATATAGTCACCGTCCCGCTACCTGCCCAATTTAAAGTTAATTTCAAATTTAAATTTTTCATCAAACAAAAATAATATATTTATCATCATTTTTAAAGAGAATATAAGTTGTTTTTAACAAATTAGTAAAAAAGTAATAATATTTACTAACTAAAGATATAAAAAAATTAAAAAAAATGGCCCCACCAGGTCCTGCCCTGAACCGTTTTAATCGGGTATGAGAATGGGACAAGGTAACAAAAATATCCGATGTGAATGACTGACCTGTTCCGTTGCCATCTCTAAGTAAAACTCCATATTTATAAAGAAAAATTAGGAATACAATGATAATAAAAATAAGGACAGAAGTATAATTATCATACTAATAATCATAATTATTTAAAACACAATCAATAATTACCCATCATTTGTCATCATAGATTTTTCCTCTTCTTCTTCCACCTATGTGGGCTAACTCATTTATTGAACGTTGAACTGTCAAGTTGCAACTAATCAACAAAGCTAAGCCATAAGAAAATAAATGGTGAGAAATGCATTACATTGAAGGCCTACCTCGACAGCCTCTGCACTATGAATAGATCGACCCTACTGTTGACTATAAAAGGAATTTATTATTTGTATAGTAAATTTAGCATTTATTCGACGGAGATCAAAATTAAATTTTTAACAAATTTCAATAAAAGTTAATGAAATATATGGATGAAAAATAATTATTGAGTTTGATTTGAATTAAAATTTGATTTTAATCCCTACCAAACGGGGATCAAATGAATTGAATTAAATAATTGAAAAGAATTTATATAGTCTAACGATGATGGGTTTTGACATTACATCATTCATCAACATGCATGTGGGGCTGATCATTTAAGTACCACGTTCTTATCATTTATTTTTGTACTAACATATTTTGGATTTTGGGACAAAAAAATGTGGGTACATGTAAGGAAATTTATTATTTAGCTAGTGGGTTAGGTACATGTCATGAAACATAATAATTGATTAATTTTATTCAACCTTGTATAGTTTAATGCACATTTAGCTCATGTTTAGATTAGTCAAAAGGAATTATTAAAAATTTGTTTTGGGAACAATATCTTAGTGTCTATATTTTACATCATATCATCAATTGGACATAAAAAGATGACGATGATGATGATGATACGATGATGGTCTATGGACAGGAGGATACCATAAAATATATTACTAGTCCATGGATACAAGTCCATGATAGGTGCACCTAACATCGTCGTGTTTGTATTGTTCATTGCAATATTTGTTAAAACGTGCAAAACTTATATTCAAGCTTTCTACAATGATACTAGCTAGTGATCAATCATTCAAATAGTTTCAATTACTTAAAAGCATTAAGCAATTAAGAAATATTCAATCAAACATGACTTTAAAGCCCATAACGGGGAAATTTGCATTAAAATTAAAACGAGGTTTTCATCGTCATCTCAACAATAGAAAATCTAGCCTAAAACGTTCTAACAAAAACACGCGTGACAAAATTAAATTTAAAGTCCTTTTGTGGTAATTATCAGTAAAACTTTATGTTATCTTTTTGTATTACTAGTCAACGTTGAACGTACGTTGCACATTATTATGAAATATTTTATAAGTGTTGTAAAAAAAATGATATTTGAATCTGCGTGAATATTAATTAATCTAAAATTAATATCAGAGAATATATACGTAACAATAAATGTTAAATCATTTATTTAATTTCCAATTAAATAAAACTAAGTGTCAATTGACATATATAAATGTGAATAGTGAAATGCGTTATTGAATGTGACAATTAGATTTAATAATACTGAAATGCAAATAAATATTAATTAATTGAGAATTAATAATAGGAAATTTATGCATTAATGAAAGCATAAGATGAAATGAATATGTCCAATGTACATGTACATTGATAATAACTAAATGTTTAAATAAATTAAATACATATTGAAAAACGAAAAGTAAGATATTATCGAAATAATTGAATTATAGTTGTGCTAGAATGGTCCAAAAAATGATTCTCACTTGATATGATATATACACCCTGTTTGAGCCCCATTTTTTTGTTCAGAATGAATTTTGGAATAGTAGATTGATGGAAAATGTATGATTAAAAAATAAGGAAAATATTTGGTTTCCCTAATATAATTTTATTGAAGAATGTGTAATTATAAAAAAATGTATTTTAAGAAAAATTGGGATAAAACAAGGGCTTAATATATTATAGATAATTATTATAAATTACACGTCAAGTCGTTAATTGTATATTAACTTTAATAGACTTCATAAAAAGAAGAAAGAAGGATCGAGACTTTACGTCGCTTTAGCCTTTTTAGGTGATAAACAAATGTTCAATTTCGATAAGTCAAATATTATTTTTATTTAAAAAGTCTATTTTCAGTAGACATTTTCAATTGAACAATTACAACTTGATGGAAGTGAATTCAAAATCTACAGTTGATTGATAAGTTCAATCATGCTAAGAGGAATAATTAGTAATTGAATGATGCTAGATGTAAATTCTCCCGGACAGCTTTATTGACATATCTCTATGTAGAAGAAATCTGTGTAGGGATGTGAGGGTTGTGGTCAAAATTAATGGTGTAGATTTAGCTTCGTGGAATAGTGTAAATCTTAATATCAACTACAATGTACATATAAAGTGTCCGAATCGAGATTGTCAAACTTACGAAAAGTTGAGGGGGTTTGAGAAGAATTTGCCCTTATTATAATTAGAATAATGTTAATCAATCCAACTTTTGCTTAATATTCGGGGCCTATTAAGTGTTCTTAAATGATTAAACATCTTATAGACCAAGTAAGCACAAAGTGAAGTTGATTAACCCTAATATTTATGTTGAGTTCAAATTATAATTGACAATTTCTAAATTTGTAGTTGGCAATTTTCTTAGTCAAAATCAAGTTCTAATTGAATTGTATTAGGAGTTTATTGAGTTGTAATTAAAATCAAAATATGAGTTATTGAGTCCTAATTAAAGTCAAAAGAGTTGAGGTTAATATCATAGTCCTTCAAGGAGTCCACGATGTTCAAGAAGATCACATAAAATCAAAAGAATGCAATTAGAAGTCTAAAAAGTGTCAAAGAACAGCACAAATTATGTTTCGAATTCTCAGTTGCAACTTTCAACGCATTAGACACGTAGACAACATTGGCATTTGTACATTTAGAAGAATTGTAGCCTTTTGAGTTAACTTTCTAATGCATTTTGAATCACCTCAATTGGATATCAGGAGAGAATTATGATGAAAATATTGACGACTATTCAGTTGACGCTAGCCTGTCGTTGGCCTAGCGCTCGAGCGACGTGGTTATTCAAGAAAAAATAATATTCGATTTTCAAGCTAATTTTGAATTCATTTTCATTTCAAATACTATCCACTATAAATATACACCATATGAGACTTTCAAAAGTGTATTGAATCATATTTTTCCATAAAGATCAATAATTTGAGATTCAAAACATTCTTTGATTCCAAAATTCAATCAATGCATATTACTTGATCCATAAATTATTTCAAAAACATATTTTATTGATCAAGCCATATTATTTCACATTAAACCACAAGATCAAAACATATAAGGTTTTTGATCAAAAGCCAAACCACCTAATTCACTTGAAATAAATCGATATCAGGGATTGAGAGTTCTTGCAGAAGCATAAATTCAGGAGGACTAATGTGAGATACCAAGAGTCAGGATCTAGCGTCATGAGTAGGGACGAAACCAGAAGTCATGAACTGTGGGGTCAAAAATGAAAATTCTGGGGTTAAAAAAAAAAAAAAAATTGTCCATGTGGATCCGTCCATGGTCATGAGTACACAATCTAAGAGAGTTAAGGTATAAACCACGAGTCGAAATTTGTTTCGAAGGAGCTTACATCCAGTATGATTAAGGGATATTGCAGGATTTGATATCAAAAGTTCTACGAGGGTAGACATGTTTGGACCGTACTGTAAGTTTGCTTCGATTTATAGTGGATTATTGACTAACAAAGTGTATGAAGTTTTTATTCAGTTGGAGTTACGCCTGATCATCTTTGGTATTTTTTATTACTTTAATTATTAATTGTTGTATTCAAATTTAGGATAATTTGAGTTGTTTGATTTAACCATCTAAAAATAATTAAAAAATAACTTCTTGTTTATAATTGTACAATTCCACACGTCTGTATAATTTAAAACTTAACTTTATTAAGAAACTTGGGCGGAGGATTTGATTTGTTGTCAATTTGCAGCCGTAAACTTTGCCAAGTAAAAAGAGAGACATTAATCAGATCTGTCACCTTCATCCCTCCATCACTTTCTATTCCTATACATGTATTATCATATACTTATATCTATGTTAAAGGTATTGTACTTCTGGTGATTGGTTCGTCTTCTTGTTATCTATAGCAAAAAAATTGGGAATTCTGAATAACATTTCATCATAGATCCGAATTCTTTGACGGGTTCAGAATCTGCGTTTGATCGAAATCTGGTGTTTGTTGATGCTCATCTAATAGTCCTGCGGCCTCCGGATTCCTCTGGTAAAACACTTTCTTTTTATCCATGCATGTGTGGCGTTGTGCATTTGCAGATGTTTGTATGTGTTTGAATTATTGGAATTTTAATACAGCAGTATTACTTAAAAATTAATTTAAATGTTATTTGTGTCTAGAGTTTAGCTTTTGCGACTTTTCCAATATGAATGGGAAATCACATGTCATAGATATGTAATCAACAGATGTATTGGCAGAGGATTCGGGAGTTAATCGTTGCAGCTTAATTGAGAAAGTTAGATAATTAATTTAATGAGTTTATTATTCTCTATAATTCCGTTTGAAGATGACAAATTCAGAAAGAGATCTTTATTTGTTGAAATGACTGATGGGTAGAGTGAATTAGTTTCTTTCTCTCAATGTCTAGGATCGAAGAGTGTGATACGGTCAAGATTTTATGGAGATAATTTATTATCTTTTAGAATTTATAAACATTTTTAAGGCAGCTTCTTTGTTATTCTTACTGAATTTGTTTTCTTCTGCAGACTGAGATGGTTGAGTTTGGGAAGAAGTTGAAGCGAAGGCAAGTTCAAGAATGGCAAGGGTACGTGTGAGATGCTTGAATTTATTTCTTAGCACTTGGTCGAATGAATCATCAAAATATCTACACATGGAAGAGTTATTGTCCTAGTTGAAGTTGTTGACTCAATAAAATTGATATTCCTGTTGGAGGTCAGTAGAGATTTTTCCACCTGTAACAAATGCCAAACCTCAGTCTGACAATATTGAAACCTCCCACTTTTTCTTGTTGGAGACCGTAACATGGATCTCACGATGCTTATATATGGTAGCCCAAGCGGATAACCTAAAGTATAGGCTTTGTAGTGCTGAATAATGTTATATTAATAAAACTGCACAAGGATAGAATACACAATGAAATAAGAGATGTGATCTTACTGCATTAGAATGTCATAATTACACTGCTTATGCCATTAGATTTTTTGTACATGCTATGATAATAAACGTTTTCTACCCTCTAGATACTACATAAACTACAAATTAATGAAGAAAAAAGTGAAGCAATATGCTAATCAAATTGAAGCTGGAGCACTGGATCGCCGCCAAGTTCTCAAGGATTTTTCTCGAATGCTGGATAACCAGGTATTGTAGAAGTTGTTAAGATTTATGAACTTGTGTTGTTTTACAGACGTGCAAAACGTTGTACTATCTGATAACAGATTTTATTCTAACATCTTTAAGCTCCTTGAAATACACTGAACATGCGTTGGAATGTTTTCTGTAATTTTATGACATCAAGTGGCATTTCCCTTTCATATATATACACGTATAGACTTTTTTAATTTTGATAATCTATTTTAAATTTTACTGTCTTACGGGTTGCTTTGGCGTTATGAAGTGGATTGCATTTGTATGATATGCTGAGATGTATAGAAATTAGACATAAGGGAGAGAAGTAAAGTTTTTAAATAATTAACCAGCTAGCAGAAATATTTTTGGTTTATATTGATACAATTTCTAGGTTATGGATTTTTGCATTCACTGCCCAATATGCGTGTACAAGATCTAGTTTAATGATAGATGAAAACACATGGCTCCATATTTTTCTGTTTCATTCAGCTTCGCAACACTATTGGTCCTATTTGTGACTCTAAGTGAATTTGGGCTTGGTTAAGAAATGATCAAGAATGTCCCGAGGAATGTGTGCAGGGAAACATCAATTTGTTTTGTAGTAATGTAAACTAAGTTAATTTCTTTAATATCATTGCAGATTGAAAAAATTGTTCTTTTTCTGTTGGAAAAACAAGGTCTACTTGCAAGCAGGATAGCCCAGCTTAATGAACGACAAGAGCATCTTCAGGAACAGCCTGATATATCCATAATATCTGAGTTACGAGAATCTTATAGAGAAGTTGGGAGAGAGCTTTTAAAGCTTCTGTTTTTTGTTGAAATAAATGCCACTGGCCTGCGAAAGATCCTTAAGAAGTTTGATAAGCGTTTTGGCTACAGATTCACTGATTACTATGTCAAAACTCGTGCTAATCATCCTTACTCCCAGCTTCAGCAAGTATTCAAACATGTGGTAATGTGCTTAAATGAATTGCAGATTCTTGTACTTCCGTTGCCCTGTTCTTGTCATAATCCCCTTAAAATTATATCATAACTATTTTGTCTCAGCAGTATCTAAATCATCACATCCTCATAAACGAAGCTTACCAGTTACAATTTCAAATAACAGTAGAGAGGAAAAGAAAGATATTATTACTGATAACTAGTTTTTGCAGGGTTTAGGCGCTGTTGTTGGAGCAATATCTCGTAATCTTGCAGATCTTCAGGACCGCCAAGGAAGCTACTTATCAATTTATGACCAGCCAGCCCTTCCTCTACAGGTATTTCACATGTTGAAAATTTAATTAGCTTGTCTGAGTTTTGGTGTGACTTCTAGCCAAGTTTTGGTGCTTTTTTATTAATGTAATGTTCTTGATTTACTCCACCCTTTGCTATTGCTTACTAAGTTCATTTGCAGGATCCTGTTGTGGACTCCATAAGATCAGCTGTGGACAGATTAACTCATTCAACAAACTTTCTTAACTTTTTGGGACAACATGCACTTATCATGCAAGAAGAATTGCCTACTCCTTCTGAGGAACGTGTTGACGATGAAAGATACCATTTTATGTCACTTCTTTTGAACTTGGCAAACACATTTCTTTATATGGTCAATACATATATTGTTGTTCCAACAGCGGATGACTACTCTATGAGCCTTGGGGCAGCTGCAACAGTCTGTGGTATTGTGATAGGGGCAATGGCAGTTGCTCAGATATTTTCTTCTGTGTATTTCAGTGCTTGGTCCAATAAGTCTTACTTCAAACCTCTGATATTTAGCAGTATAATTCTGTTTGTGGGAAATGTCATGTATGCATTGGCTTATGATCTCAATTCAATATCAATTCTTTTGCTTGGTCGACTATGTTGCGGGTAGGTCTCTTTCTCTCTCTCTAGTGCATGTAAATGTGTCTATGGCCTTGTCACCTGGTTTCTTTATTTCTTTGTGTTTGTTGAATGTGATTGTGGTTTTTACATGATTTTTGATAAGTAACTTTTGCAAATGGTTGTTGAAATTATTATACTGTTCCCAGCCTCTGATGAGAACCTTGATGGTTTCGGCTTTATCTTATATACAATTTAACATGAATGACCTTGTAGTTTGTAGATACTTTATTCCTTCTAGATTACACTCTTATCATTAACTTGATCATAGATAAAAATCACGGAGGTAGATGCTTGTATTGTTATTACTCCTAATTGATTAACTATATACTGTAAGATTCAATTTTTATTGTTGAATGTTGGAGCTATTTATTTTTGAGGTTTTCCCATTTTACAGATAGGTATAAATTCCACTGCAGAGTCCTTGATAGATCACATTGAATGACTTGGTGACCATGAACATGAATAGTTTAAGATGACAAACATGGAGGGTAGTCTGTGGAAAACGAATTTTAATAGAATCCTTTTAGATTTCTGTGGATAATGACATTCAGTAGCTTGCATTGCTTTCATTTTCCTTGCTGACTTGTATTGAGAGGCAATGCCTTATTTGGATGTGACAAACTATATATAAAATTTAAGTAATACTTACTCCATGTTTTTAAGCCACATCAGGTAAGCCTATTAATTATGGGGAAGACCCATAGACCACATCGAACTCTTATTTAGGCACAATAGAGATCGTATGAATAAGATCAATGAAGATCCTATGAATAAAAAGCTTTCATTTATTGATGTCACTTGCTGTATTAGTTTGCTTAATTATCTGCTCATGCTTAACCTCATGCTCACACATTCATTTGCATGCTTGTGCACTTAACCATGGTGAATGCTGGGTGCAATACCTGGTCTTGAAAGTGGTGATTGCATTTGGATATGCTTTGGCAAAGTGTAATTCTCCCTCTGTCAACTTGCAGTTTCTGTTCTGGCAGAGCAGTTAACCGACGTTATATCATTGACTGTGTGCCACTTAACATCCGCCTGCAAGCTTCAGCAGGTTTTGTTAGTGCTAGTGCTCTTGGAATGGCATGTGGCCCTGCACTTGCTGGGTTACTTCAAACTGATTTCAAGATTTACAAGATCACATTTAATCAAAACACTTTGCCAGGTTGGGTAATGGCCCTGGCATGGTTAGTCTACTTAATGTGGTTGTGGATCTCATTTAGGGAACCTGCTCGTGAGTCTGAAGTTAACAATGTCCAACAGGAATCTATTGGTGGTATGTTTACCTCATTGTGCTTCTATCCATTCCTTTTTTCCTCATGTATTGACCTTTTTCTTGGATATCAACAAAATTCAGTATTATGGTTTCCAACAAACAGGTGAGAAAGTATTGGAAATCCAATTATATAAACCAGATTAAATAAACATTTATATCTCAATTGAAATTTTGACAATAAGATAAAATGTATTGTTGTTTGTTTTTTCTTTTTGTCCCTTCAATTCCAAAATGTTATGCTCCGGTGTCATGGAGTCAGGCACTTTTTCCTGTAGATGAACACTTAATTAAGTGAATTAGCAACAAGATTGTCATAGTTATTTTGATATTTATTCCATTACACCATTTATTGGTGAGGGGCCATTGGTTGGTAAAATACCAAAAACTATTTTCAAGTGATAGGTGTGGTTGAGGTTTCACATTAATACAACTGTATTGAAGAGTGAAGCCAGGCCATCACCTAGCCTTGCCTGCAACTTACCCTTTCCACACTAAACTAGGCAGGAACTTTCTGTGCATTCAGCATTGTGTCGAGTGTTGCCCTTTTAATCCCTAAATTGACTGGTCAACTATCTGCTCAGCGTGTAAATCTGTAGAAACTGTACGGTAATTGTTAGTTTCTCTTTAACTATTTGGTTGTGCACTGCTGTTTCCTTGTCCAGCATCATTATTGGACTATTATGCATAGCATAGTTTCCAAAAACTTCAGGTTTCATTTGCGAAAAATTCTTCAATGGATAATCATTGAAGAATGAAAGCTAGATGGGCACCTAACATTAATCCTTTGGTTGGCAGTAGAAAATGATAAGCTTGAGAAGGGTCTTAAACAACCGTTGCTTTTAACTTCATCTGAAAATGAACAAGATGATGAGGAGGATCAAGAATTTGGTGGGAGTGAAGAAGCTCCTGAGGAATCCCGTCTACCGGCCAACTCCCTGGGATCAGCTTATAGGTTACTTACGCCTTCTGTTAAGGTATGTGCTTGAATCTGAGTTCATATTTGTATTGAATAGTGGGCATTTTTCTTTATATATTATTGTAGAAAAGTTCCAGGTTTAATTGTTGGTGGATTGATGAGCATATGTATGCTTTCTTGGTGTTAGCTATTTGCTTTTATTCCTAGACCAGACTGCCATGTTCGTATATAGCAGTGATTCAGATAAATCTAGAGAGAATGTATGGTTAAAAAGTAGGAAAAAATTATGGTTCCATGTTCGAGCAAAAATGATTTTCAAATAAGTTGTGCCGAACAAATGCTTAATAAGTACACATGTTTATTTTCTCAAGTCCATGTTTATTGGCTTGTATCAATTTGTTATGGAAAGAATTTGTGCTAAACTTTACATTAACTACACATTAATATCTTTTTGGGACACCTGAAGAACTTCTCTAAAAGAATGGGGATTTTGTATGATGGTGAGAGATGCTGTTCCAGCCCACTTAATTAGTCAAGATTCTCATTTACTTGGCAGTTCTACTTATCCAGGGATATTTTGCATGCTATGTTATTCAATTTGCGAACTCGTTCTGTAATGGTTTTATTAATTAGTTGGGAATAATTTTTTTTCCAGAAAAAGGTTAAACTGAAAGAAGCCAGCCAACAGTTATAATTAATGTCGGGAACTTCTGGGGTAGATCATCATTTCCTTTTAAGAAATTGCTTGCACGTGTCGTGCTGAGCCCTTCCTACTATTTCTTTATCGTATTTGATTGTATTTCCATTGAACCTCTTTTCACATAATTCACATATATGTTGTGATTTCCAATTTATTATATTTATATTATTTGTTTGGAATCTGGTTGTTTGAAAGCATCCCATTCTTATGAATATTCGGACAGTCCAATAAAAATTAAGCTAGACTGCATAATTAATTAACACAGAACCCCGCATTCCCAACTTCCCTCTCTGCTATTTGCCATGCTTATGCTAATCCTCTTGTTAAGGCCCCAGAACTAGGAAATAGGAAAATAATAGTACTTTCGTTTATCTTGTTTTGGAATACTGAAAGTATATATGTCGTGCAATATGATCATGTTTAAGTAACCTTGCAAAAGATTCTATTGTATTTCAGGTTCAATTATTGATTTACTTCATGCTTAAATATGCAATGGAGATTCTTCTCTCAGAATCAAGTGTCATCACTACCTACTATTTTGGTTGGACTACGAGTACAGTGTCAATTTTTCTTGCATGCCTTGGGCTAACTGTGCTACCAGTAAATATTGTTGTTGGAAGCTACATAAGCAATATGTTTGAGGACAGGTAACTGCTTTTCCATGAAGCCATGCGTCAATCTCTAATTTAATAAGTACGCGTTAGGTTCGTGAACTGCTTTTCAATCAATCTAAGACAATATGCATGATTGTACTTCCTAGTAATCACTTACAATTAAACACTATGGCTATTGTCCATTGAAGGAATGCTAATGGACATAGCAATTTGTTATCAGATGAAGTTCATGAATTTTTCTCACAATAGTTTGAATTTTTTAAAAACGTTTTAATAATACAAGATGTCCCTAATTTGAATTTTTAAATTTACAAAAATGGGTGTCCCATGTCCTTGATTTGGCGGGGGCACATTTCTCGTGTATTAGAACTATAAAGAATATGAACAATATAGGATACACCACATTGCATGTTTGTATATCGTCTCTCTAGTGTTGCAAATTTAAAAAATATATAAATATGGACACTCCACATGACACGCTGGAAACATGTCCGGGAATGTTCGAGGAGTGTTCAATACTTGGTGGTAACGAAAATGCCACCCCCAGTGGGACTGTCGATACTTCACAGACTGGGTTGACACTACATGTTGTGAAGAGGTTTATTGCTGAGCCTAATGTTTTACATAATATCTTGCTCCCCCATGAAATGTATCACAATGAATTGTGCCTCTTTTTTAGTTTTATTTCTCAGTCTATGAAAGTCATGCGCAAGGAGAACATAATAGTTTAAGCATTAAAAATTTCCTTTCGGCGCTAGTGAATAAGCATGTTTGCTGATTTACTTACGAACCTGTTCTAACGTAGAACGAATTGCATCTGATCAAGATCTTCAACTTGTTTTAAATGGCAGTTACTGCATTTCATCAGGAATCTTTGGTATCACAGCCTACTTATCGACTTTTATTCTCAAATTGTTTGTAGGCAAATTTTACTGGCATCTGAAATTGTGGTTTTGCTGGGTATACTCTCTAGTTTTCACATAATAATCCCATATTCCGTGCCACAGTACGTAGTCTCGGGGCTAGTAATGTTTGTATCTGCTGAAGTATTGGAAGGTAAGATTTCTATTCAGTAACTATAACTTACATTAATTGGAAGAGGGTGTGGGTTTAAGATATGAAGTGTTGTATCATTTTGACGACGTTATTTTTTCTTGTGATTATAGGTGTGAATTTGTCACTTCTCTCCCGAGTAATGTCATCCAGGCTTTCTCGTGGGACCTATAATGGTGGGCTTCTGTCGACTGAAGCTGGAACACTTGCTCGAGTGATTGCAGATGCAACAATAACGCTGGCCGGGTATTTGGGACAGGATAGGCTCTTGAACACCACCCTTCTTCCTTCCCTTGTGATTTGCATAGGTTCCATTGTTGCCACCTGCTGTACCTTCAATGATCTCTACTGATCCTCAAGTTTGAAAGCATGGTGATTGCTCATTCACACAGATCTCTATATTATTGTTTAATTTGTTATGTTTGGNNTTGGTTTATTTGTTTTTGTTGGTTTTTTTTTTTTTTTTTTTTTGTTTGATTTTAGCTCATGCATGAATGCTGTAAATTTGAAAGGGTTGTAATCTATTCGTTTATCACAGTTTAGTCCAGTGTGTTTTTATGTACATTGTTTTTAATTAGTTTGGAGGGAGTGTGTTATTTATATACACTTCTATTTGCTACATTTATGTAAAGCTTTTAGTTGCAATGGTTCCACATTTTGTTAGAAAAATATAATTTTTAGCGCCACTTGTTCATAAAAATTATGAGGGTGTGTCGGATCTTTAATGAAAAATGAATCCGGCTGCATGTGAATTGAGTATTTTGAAATCTAATACACACTGTCATATTTAAAGAAAATGCTGTGTAATGGTGTCCATAATGGATACAACAAGGCCCCTTATTGGAAATGTGTCTGCGGGTCCAAGCACTTCCCCAATGGGGAGCTTTCATGTGTCAATTATGGACTACTTTATGTATTGTACTATGTACTCATGGCACATCCCCTATTTAAATAAGTTGATTTTTATTTTTTATTTTTTTCACACGGATCAAGAAATCTTACTTAATGTTATTGAAAAAGTAATTTTTGCCAAAACTTTCCTAATTAACATTTATTTAATTATCAATAACTAGTAGTAAATTATTATTGAAAGTAATAAAGAAATTGAACGATTTCATTTTCAATTTTCACATTGGTTATAACTAGACAAATTAAATAGTGTTATATTAGTAAACGAACAAAACAAAACATTCTTAATAAAGAAATATAACTATATAATTGAGACAAAAGAAATAAGGAAAATCAATTTATATAAATAGGGCGGAGATAGTATATTTTAATACAGATCTTGACCAGTTTAAGTGGCACTGAATCCCCTGATTCATTGACCAATTGATTTGTGGTGTTTTTAACTGCTGATAATGAATATCGTTACTCTACATTTTTAGACAACATGATTCAAGCATACATTGTGCAGAAGTGGGTCCCGAGAAAGTGGAAATCTCTTGTTAGTTCTTGTAAACGATATTTTCATGGTGTAACATATACTTGTACAATTAAATAACCGCTGAAATGGATGGGAAGGGGAAGCTGGTAGTTGGAGAAAACTAAGGACCGTAATAGAAAGCATTTGTATAACCACTTTTATGAATTTCTTTATCATTGCTACGATGTTGATTGATTCTCTTTCAATATAAAATAAATTATAGTATTTTATCAATTGTAGGATTTAGTCTATTTGAATATAAAGCTTGTGTTTGACACTCATTTTGGGGAAAAAATGAATTCTGAAATAGTGATTGATGGAAGAATGTGTGGTTGAAAAGTGATGACAATTTTAGATTTGTGTGTAATATTATTTTATTTGAAAAATATGTTTTTGAAATGAAGTAAAAGAAAAAAATGAGAATGAGAATGAATGTCGAACTGGGAAAAAATATCAAATATATTTTTTGATGTCTTTAATAAAGTGTGGAATAGCCGAACATGCTAAATGGAGCACCACATTAATATAATAGTTTCAATATTTACCTCCTCAAAAAATTAGTTTAAGCTCGTGTTTGTGGCGTATTATTCAGGTGGAAAGTAGAAAACAAAGGACCGTTATTTTCAAATGTTGAATCCAACTGTGAGATAAAGAGTCAAAAATAGTGGCTGGCAACGGTTGAAATTTTTCTAAATATGTAAAATTAATGCTGAACAAAACAGGTGTAAATAGCAAAATCCACGAAGCAAGAAACTTCGTATGATAGAAAGATTAATCGTCTCTAGATGATTAAAGTGCAAAAACTAATAAAAATAACATAAGAAAAGCATATCAAATGGTGCAAGTGCTTCATGGCCATGCGCCTTGTGATGTCTTCAAATGGTCTAGTCGAGCCTCAAACGTGCAAACCAAGCCACTTGCTGCATCAATAATCTTAAAAGTTATATTTGACAAAATAAGTAACTTAAAAATAAATTGAAATTCATTTTAAACACAATCTGAAATGCTCTAACAATGTGGTGGAAATCAGGAAAAGGTCACTGTGTGGAATAGTTTGGCTAATATTTATAAACTGTCAAATTACTTTTTATTCATATATTTCGTGAGGTTCACAATTATTTCCAATTTATTCACTACTCATTTTTATCTATATATAAAATAAATTGTTTATAAATACTTTCCAAACATGCTTCGGCCGTGTTTGAACCCTTTTTTTTTTAAAGGGAAAATGAGTTTTGTAATATTGATTTTTTTAAGAATCTGTAGATGAAAAGGATGAAAATAAATTAATTTACATATAAAATTATTATATAAAAAATGTATAATTGAAAATGAGTTTTAAAAAAAAAATATAAAGCTTGCGTTTGTCACCCAATAATATACCAACTTCAATGCTGCCACATAAATTCCAACCACCAAACCGAAAAAATTCAAGATTTCATTAAAAGTCATATAAATATGCATAGAATGGCTTTTGGCTCGCAAAGATGTGATTCCAATCATGTACCATTTTTCAAATGGCTGCACCACAAGTCATCGAATTTTAATTGAAGTTGCATCAAGGTTAATCGTCTTCAATTTGGCGTAACCAGGTCAACCAACTTCTATTTTCTTGCAGATTTGTTCACTAATCTTTGATTTGATGCAATCGAGTTACCAAATTTCGATTTTCATGCTAATCAATTTATAACTAATTTTTTTTTTAAAAAAATTAATATTAGTTATAATTCTATTTTTAAAATATTTCAAATATTTTGTTCTTTTTTTGAATGCACTCTTCCTTCTTCTTCATCTGAAAATACAGAAAGACCCCTCGAATTTAAATTTGATTCTGATTCTCAACCAAACTCATTGATGAATTTCGGTTGATAATGAGTTTTTATTAAATCGCCACTCTAGGTTGCAACATATGATATATCCAATTAAATGGACCACATCTACTTGCATTTAAATGAATATATAATTTAATGGCATATTTTGACACCTATGCTGATGACGCTAGATAACGTTACAAGAAATTCAAGATGTTAACAATATGCATTTTTTTTATTACTTGTAAGTGTCCTATTAAATGTCTTGCAACTGTCCCCAATACCACTCACCCATCCCTCAAGTGATGCAAGAACATATATACATATACACAAGCAGATTAGCCATATCCAGAACCAACTACGTTTTTGTGGGTACCCATTAAGTATTTTTTTAGAGGCAGCCATTATTGCTGTTAGTTAGCGTTGCAAATTAATATTTAAAATCGGCATTGCTTCAATTCACAATCTGTGCATTTCTTGATTCTCGTCTGTTTTTCAGCTCTTTCTCTTTACACTAACCCCCACCCCACCCACCCCCCACACAATAATCATTTTTTCTATCAAAACTTATTGCTGTCTGAATCGAAGGACTGCTTGCTTTCCAGGTAAACTTTTGATATATGTAAAGCTTGGATGAGTTGAATGTGCTTTATAGGATAAAAACAAAGTTTTACTTCACTTATAATCTGTTTTAATTTAGCTTATAATTGCATGAAGATTATCAGTAAAATGTTGGTTTGTGGGCTGTGGAGATTGATTAGTGCTGCACTTGCTGGAATTCTCTTCTTTAATGGCTTCTGTGTCTCTCAAAGAGGTATCAAATTTATATTTTTCTTGTTTGTATTTTATGCATATTTTCACTTAGCTTTTTTATTTTTTATTTCAAAGCTACTATAGTTGATATGTTTGGCTGAGAGGCTTCGACCTAAACTCCAGTCAAAGGTGTGCAAAATGGGAAGTACAATGTAGAAAAACCTTATCAAATTACATTTCATAGTTCCTGTCAGCATAGTGTCTTTTTGACTCGCGGTTACATAACTTTTATCTTAAAATAACATGAAATTTAAGATTTTTATTCTTAAATTTTGGTAATATTCTTCCAATGAGCATCAAATTTGGAACAGCAAAACATGCATTACATCGTTCACTAGGAAAAGACTGGTTATTCCGGAATTAAATCCCGGGTCCCTATTGGAATGGGCCCTTAGTGATGGCAAAAAAACTCACCCCGCCCTGAATGGGACGAAAAAAACCTGCCCCAATGGGTTGCTGCCCGAAGTGCCCCGAATCCGCCCCGTGAAAAATATAAAAAATAATTAACTACAAATTAAAAACAAAAAATAGTTAATTGGAAGTTTAAAAAAAATAAATAAATAAACGGGGGCAAGCCCGCGCCCAGAACCAACCCCGTCTAAGGTGGGGCGGGGCACGGGGCGGGGCGGGGCGGGGTGAGGGTGCCCCGCCCCGAACCCGCCCCATTGCCATCTCTAGGGGCCCTCCAATTTGGCGCCCCTGGTTTGACTCGGGATTTAATTCCCTTGGGACAAGTAGCATGGCTCTTGTTCACTAACATTTTCGTTGCTCTAAAAGCCATTACAAATTGCTACATTTTTAATGATTAAGGTAATGTATTCCAAGTTAAACCTAGTGTAATTGAAATAACAATAAAATCAACATTAATTTGCATTAACTGGAAGTAGTTGTCTTGAACAAAATTATCTTATCTATACAGATCCATATGTATTTATGATCCACCGCTTCCATGCAATAAATTCAGCCATAGCTACATCCATAGCAGCCCTAAGGAGAGGCTGTCGTCTCAGGCCAGCTGTTTAGGGGACCCAAAAGAAAAATTTGTTTCCTTTTTTATTTTAAACCATTGTTTGACTATTTTAAACAATGAGGTTTCTTCAACAATGATATCGTAAATCATAGAATTAGTGTCTGGATTTGAAATACTCATTCCATTGTGTAACATCCCTTCAGAATATATTTATGCATCGTTACACACATCTTTGTTGATCTGATCGTTTATTATTCCTAATTTTTTTTAATTGCATTGACTAATGGATTTTTTTATATTTAATTGATTACTGTAGCCTACATCTTGTTAAA